GGGGGGGGGGGGGGGGTTCCCCTGTAACTAGGAATGAATTTGAGCAAAGAGTCTGAAGAAAATCAGGGAAGTTGCTTTGAGTCTCTGGACCCTATGGGCAAGATTTAAATCCTTTTTCTTGCCACGAAACTTTTTTTTCCCTTCCTCATCCCCTCAGCTCAGTAGAGGGAAGTGGATTTTTAAAATCAAGTTGTCCTTTTCCATGGACTTCCATGGATTTTTCCATGGACTTTTCCAAGCTCTTTTTTTTTATGGAGTAAGGGAAGGGAGGAAGGCGTCAGTATAGGATCAGTTAGAGAGTAGTTTGCTTATACAAAAACATTTTGCTGATGGAGTTATACTGAACTCCCCTAGTAGAGACGCAGCTTATACACCAGCAGCTACACTCTGTGTACTTTAAAGCATTGACCCAACTGCTGTGATTTGTATCAGTCAAGCACCTTGTTCTCTTTTAAGAACTGTGCTTATAGGAGGTCCCCCCACCCCGGCTTAACCGTGTTGGTGGGACTGTACAGTTTTCTTTGTTCCATGCCCCTAAGCCACACAGCAACACTGGCAAAACACGGAGGTGTAAACCAAGCCTGCAAATAGTCACATCTGGTTTTTCCCCCAAAGCTTATGGCTGTTCTGCTGCATGTGCTATCCACATCCTTTACATCCTTTACATGTCTGAGCTGTGCACAGCTTCGGGGTCAGCAGCATGGATGTGTCGTTGCTGCAGCCAGCATGGACATCCCGAGCTAGCGTTAATAGACAAGGCACCCTCTTGTCCTCAAGTGCCGATAGAGGTCAGGGTCGACTTCTCCAGCCAGTTCTGCAGCACTCTGAGCTCAGCGCTGATGCGTCTACACTGCTAGTACTACCCAGGCTGGCTACTTCTGACCTAGCTTCGGCAGGTCTGTGTGAGCTGCTCTGCAGACATGCCCTTGGCATTCGAGGGAGGATGAATGCCAGGGGCCAGGAAAGGCTTCCCCCAGGGTAAGGCAGGTCTAGAAGAGCAGGGCAGCTTGAAGGTAGAGGCCTGGGCTTGGACTCTGGTCTCGCCAGTTCTGTTCCTGCCTTAACACGCACATTAATCCCACCCTAATATTACCTACCAAGCTAGTTGGATGCGTTTGCTACTGGCAGTACCTTGCGAATCGCGACCCTTCTCACCCCCTGTAACGCAAGGAAACTGTCCCTTGCAGAGTACCTAAAGGACGAGCTGGATCTCTATGTGAAGCAGCTGCAGGTTGTGAGAGTAGTGCGGCAGAAGGAGAGGAAGGGGTTAATAACAGCACGGCTGCTCGGCGCCAGCGTGGCAGCTGGAGACGTTCTCACCTTCCTGGATGCTCACTGTAAGTACAGCCGGGCTCTGGCATCGGCTTCACGCCTCTCGTGCGGCCTGGCAGACGGGGCACAGGCGTGGGACTCAGGAGAGAAGAGCTCTACCCCCAGCCCTGCCACAGGCCTCTTGGCTGGCCTTAGCCAAGTCCCTTTCCTGTGCTTTGGTTTCTGTAAAATGGGGCTAATGACAACAGCCTTCTTTCTCAAGCGCTTGGAGATGAAACGGTGGAAAGACACAGACCAGAGCTAGGGAGCGTTAGCTTCCTTTCCCAGGAGTGGTGCAGTCAGGCATGCCAGGGTCCTTACAGTGATGCCCGCTTGAGAGCTGCTGGCTAGCTCCCCGCCACCCCCCGTTCTAAGAGAAAGCGGGTGGGCGTGGAAGTCCCTTGGGCTCCTGCATGTTCTGTTTCGCTCCCACTCCCCTCCTGGGTTTCTATCCCTAACATCCACCCAAACTTGTGCCATGCTGCGCTTGGAAAGTGTCCACGCAGGAACTGCTCCCAATTTCTGTCTGCACTGCCAGAGAGCCCAGCAGGGGGGAGCAGAAGGAGACCGGCCGTGAAAGTTAGGGAACCCCCAAAGCGACCTGGCTGCTTTTCTCAGGCGTCCGAGCAAGGGGCAGAGCCAACTCCTCCTTGGCCTGACTCTTCGGCCATTTGTCTTGTGTCACTGAGATGTTCCACCAGATATTGTTAGGAGCTCTCCCAACCCCACAGACCGCCCCCCAAAGTGCTTCCACTTGCATCTAACTGGGGAGCCTAGGGCCAGCGTGAGAGTTGAGCCTTGCAAGCAAAGCGGTAGTGGCAAAATCCTTCTTCTTCCTCCCTGCTCCCCAGGTGAGTGCTTCCACGGCTGGCTGGAGCCTCTCTTGTACCGCATTGTCGAGGAGCCCACTGCAGTCGTGAGCCCCGACATTACCACCATCGACCTGAACACCTTCGAGTTCTCCAAGCCCATCCAGTATGGCAAGCAGCACAGCCGGGGGAACTTCGACTGGAGCCTCACCTTCGGCTGGGAGGCCATCCCGCCCCATGAGAAGCAGAAGAGGAAAGACGAGACCTACCCGATCAAGTAAGCCTTGGGGGGTGTTGCCACATGCTGCCTGGGATGGGAGCATCCAGTGTCTCTTGGCACTTCAAGGGTGGAGTTAATAGATGCTACATGGGCTTTTTAGCCTGCACCGCCGCTTTACCCTGGAAGAGGCAAATCTCAGGCGTCCTCGACAGGCCACTTGTGTCCCCCTGGGGAGGTGTCTGCTGTGACCCTGCAGCTGAAGGTCATGAATAGCTAGCTGCAAAGCCTACTTTGAGATCTGGTTTTGGAGGTGTTGAGCCCTGTGGCTGACTTGCCTCCGAGCCTTTCATACCCCAGACGCCTTTAGGCCCGAGCTGGAAACTTCACAAGAGCATCCAAAGCCATTGGTGACTCTTCAGATTTTCCCCCTTCTTCATAGGAGCGTGTAGAGTCTGACGGGAGCGGGATTCCCCATGGGGCAAGGTCTCAGATAGCTTCCAGTCCTTAGAGCAGGGACAAGCAATTGTGTTGGGCAGAGGGCCACTTACTGAGTTTCGGCAAGCCATCGAGGACCGCATGACAGGCAGCCTAAGGTAGATAAATATTAATTTTCTACATTTTTTAGGGGCCCCATCGGCCGGATAGGGTGGCCTGGTGGGCCGCATCCAGCCCCCAGGCTGCATTTTGCCCACCCTGGCCTCAGAGCCAAGGTAGATGCCAGCACAGCATATCTGAGCCTTCAGGCCAGAGGAGAAGTGGGGATGGTGAGAAAACCTCTGTTTTGGGTTCAGTGAATGAGGGATGAACTTTGTTCCTATGAAATGAAAGGAGCTCTTAATCACCTTAGGCTCCAGACAGGCCTTGCTTTCAGTCTCTCATTAAGAGCTTAATTACTGTCTCTTCATCTCTGTGCTGATCTTAGAAACCCAGTCATTTGAGTGCCCTGTAAGTAGCTGGGTTGGTTGGCTGGGGGAAGGGTATTGCCTGCACCGCATATTTTACATAAAGGCCTTTTTTTCCCCTGTTTGGAGTGGAAAGCAAACACTGTAGGAGCTGCTTGGTGGGCAGGAGGCGGCTCTTTGCAAGCACCAATGCATTCGCGCAGCATGGCGGTACCTGTTCAGAGTGTACCCCTAACCAACGCGGCCGTTCGGGCAAACATCAGGTCTGCCCAACAAACGGCAGTAGAGCGATATTGGTGGGGAGGTGAAGGAGGTTGCGACTCCTCTGCAAGCCAAAGACCCGGTGTAGAGGCAGCGGTAGTAAGAAACGTGCTGTTCCTGGTCTTTCCGTCCCTGCTTGGGGACCCCTGATACGGGGTAGTGAGGAAGTGCACATCTACACTGCCCCTGTAGGAGAGCTAGCTAGCAGAGCGTTCCTCGTGTAGCGATCACCTCTGTTCCCAGGTGAACAGGGATAACCTCCGCGAAAAGCATTTCACGAAGGGCACGAGGGAACGTGCGGCTTTGATACGGGGACAGGAGCCAGGCAAGGCTGGCCGGATCGTACTCCGGTCGTTTGCCCCTGACATGCCAAGAATTCCCTTGTTGCTGCCTAGAAAAGAGCCCGCTTGGTCACTTCCAGAGCCTGCCAGCCTGCAGCCCAGCTGGCACAGGCAGCTACGGACAAGGGTAGCCAGCCTCCGGCCCTTTAAAAGCAGAACAACCTTGAATTCCCAAGCGAAGACATTCAACACCAGCTTTTGGCCCACGCAACCCCGTCCCTTGGCCTGGAATACAGCTCCGCTTTGTGCGAAGGTCAGATGGGAGACGTTGCGGCCTCAATAAAGGTCCCTTTTAAGAAGGCCGGTAACGCAGCTTCCAGCAGCATCTAATCTCCGCTGGCTCCTCGCTCAGTGGGGGCTTTTCTTCTCTTGTCTTATGAAAGCCAGTGTCTGTTCCGGCCTCGTCCAGAGATCAGATGCAAATGATTAGAAAGGGAAACCGGTATGAAAAGCTCAGGTGCGGCGCGGCCCCCAGCTCTGCCCCTCCATTCTGCTACTGGCTGTCGGTAATGATGCCCCAGGCTTTGCCTTGTCCCAACGAGAGGCCCAGGGACCGGTCCTCTGGGTCCCAGGCACATCCAGTGTCAACCCTTAGCTTCCCCATCGCGGGTGTGCAATCCCTTGTTCTGAGTTCAGCCAATGCTTAATGAGCTGAATGCCTCTGAGGCAGGGTGGGGATCCCCACGTTGCAGAGCAGAGAGGCCAAGTAATTGCCTGCGGTCCAATGGCAAGCCCGCCAGAGCGGGGAACCGAACCGGAGTAGGGAACTGGACCATTAAAGGCCTTTGCGAATGCTCTGCTTTTCTTTGGCCGTGGGGACAGAGGTTTGTCTCTGGGAAGCAACCCAAGCAAAGCACTTGGACATGGGCGGGGGGCTGAACTCGATGATTTTCTGAGGTCCCTTCCAGCCCTAATGTCTATGAAATCTATGGGGTGGCACTGCACTACCTTGCAACAGTTGGCTGGTGTGTAGAGCGCTCTAGACACCATCCCTACCCCTACCCGTTTCTGGAAGCAGACGTTTTGGATGCTACCATAGTAGAAGCAACAATAGGGATCATCAGCCATGACTTGACATGCCCGTGGGGGAGTTGCCTACAGATGGCTCATAAAGGGGCCTGGCCATGGGGGAGAACCTCATCCTTCTGTAATGCAAAGACCAGACCAGTGCAATGCTGTTATGGTGGCAAGCAGCTGCAGCCAAGTTCAGACCCCACGTGCCCCTCCGTAGGCTGGAGATGATACGCTTGCCAGGCGGAGGAGCGAGAAGCACGATGGAAGAGCGCCCCGTGCTGTTCCTTACACTCTGCTCCCGTGTCCCCTCAGGTCCCCGACCTTCGCTGGTGGCCTCTTTTCAATCTCCAAGTCCTACTTCGAACACATTGGCTCCTACGACGATCAGATGGAGATCTGGGGAGGGGAGAACGTGGAAATGTCCTTCAGGGTAAGAGCAACGGGTAATGTTAAAAGGCTCTTAACTGCAAGCTGCGAGCGCGGCTCCAGGCCGCGCGCGTGTGAAGGTGCCATCACACTACCTGCTGTCATAAAACAGCCCAAAGCACATGCTACCAGGCCTCGGGCTGGTCCAGTTCTGCACGTCGCTCCCTTTCTCGGAGCAAAGCTTGGCTTGGCTGAGGCTCTCTCTGAAAGCTGTTGTCCTGGGGCTTGCTCCTGCTGCAGGTCTGGCAGTGCGGAGGGCAGCTGGAGATCCTCCCCTGCTCCGTCGTGGGGCACGTGTTTCGCTCCAAGAGCCCCCACACCTTCCCAAAGGGGACGCAAGTCATTTCCCGGAACCAGGTGCGCCTGGCGGAGGTCTGGATGGACGACTACAAGGAAATCTTCTACAGGAGGAACCAGCAGGCCTCACAGATGGCCAAGGAGGTAAGGAGCCAGGTTCTAGATGTCCCCTCCGTCGCCTTCTTCAGCAGAGAAGGTGGCGTCCTTTGACTGGGCAATGATCCTTAGCATCATCCTCAAGGTCCCGGTAAAGATGGTGGGACCATTGCATCAAAGGACAGGGGGCTGTGCCGGATTCCCACTCAACCAGTTGGGGCCAGATCAGAATGAGACAAATATTTTTTGCGCTCACTCTTTTTGATTTTTTTGTGGCAAATGCAGATTTGGCCACAGCAAAACACAGTGCAGCTGCATCTTGGTTCCTCCAGTGTTTCATTTTCAGCAGCATCCAGATTCTGACATTCGAAGCAGACAGATTTTTGCGCTTTCAGAACCAGAATATTTTGGGTTTTTTCCTCTCAACACTATTAGTTTTCAAATTTAGTTTTCTTTTCTTGAAAGGTCAGATCCAAAACTAAAGATCTGGGGGAGCCAGAACAATCTGCTTGATCATAAAGGAAGCTTTCCAGTTAGCCACATGTGTCTTGTTTTTGCGCCAAATAAAAAAGATATTTCTTTTTCTTTTTTTTTCTCCGTTTGTCAACAAACCACGATTTGCCTTTTGCACTGGTCTCTTATCGGGGCCCAAATCTGGACTGAATCCAAAATGCCTTGTGCTGTCTGAGCTGTGTTTTCCAGTGACGCATTGTCCTGGGAAACTTCCCCTTTGGGGCTGTTTTGCCTCCTTAGTGTGCTAAGAAGGAAAGATATAGATTCCCAAAGAAGGGCCATGATGAGACCCGCCTTTCTGATGCCTGGTGGGAAGCCTGGTAAGGGGCACGCGGGGATTTGTATGGCTGCTTCCCTTGGAAGTCAGTTTAATTTTCTTGCCTGACTTTGTTGATAGAAAACATATGGTGACATTAGAGAGAGGCTCAAACTCAAGGAGCAGCTGCACTGCAAGAACTTCACCTGGTACCTCCAAACCATCTACCCCGAGATCTTCATCCCAGACCTGACCCCCACCTTCTATGGAGCAGTAAGTGCACGTGGCTGTGGGTTTCCCGCTTGCTTCCCTTGGTTCGACCTGTCACTTCCCGTACCCCGAACACGCCTGATCTCGGAAACTAAGCAGGGTTGGGTCCGGTTAGTACTTGAATGGAAGACCCAACTTTCCTGGAGACAGGTCAGGTCGGTAGATGCACACTGGTGCTGCTGCAGGATCCCTCTGCCGGGGTCTCATGCTCTGGAGCCCACAAAAATCCACTAGAAGGGCAAGCCACAAAGGAAACTCTGTAGACCAGGGGTGTCCAACCTCTGGCTCACGGGCCAAATCTGGCCTGTGAAACCATAGGGATCTGGCCCATGGGGCTGCCCATGGATCAGGAAGTCTGGTGGCAGGGGAAAGGTGGCAATAAATACAGCTACCCTCCCACACAAATTGTGCAGGCTGAGGCCAGGTCACGCCCTCTCCCCCTGCTTCCAGGGCATGCCCTTCCCCCATGCTGGATAGGACTGGGCTGTGTCCCCCTCCCCCTGTGGGGCTGGGTTGGGGCCAAGCTATGCCCCCTCCCCCTGCAGTTCTGAGCCACGCTGCCTTCCCCCATGGGGCTGGGCCACATCCCTTCTCCTCACCCCACAGGGCTGAGCCATGCCCCCTCCCTCCATGTCCCACACCCCCTGGATGGGTCACCCTGGCTGCATCCCGCTCCATGCTCCATACGCCATCCTAGCTAGGCAGTGCACCCAGCCCCACTCCCTCCCTCACCAGGGGGCCTCAATCTGCCCCCCTCCCCCCACCATAGACTTACTCTGCAGGGAGCTGCTCTTCAGGCTGCTGGGCTGGATTTCCCAGCCATATACATGTGTGCAGGTGTGCACATGCACGTGGCACCCCCTGTGTCCTGCTCCTGGCTGCCAGCCTGCAAGGGGCAATGCACCATTTCCCACGGATCCCTGCACAATGCTGCAAATCCGGGACAAATCCTGTCCTGGAGTCGTGCAGCCCAGATGTTCCCAATCTGGGACTGTCCCACCCAATTAGGGATAGGTAGTCACCCTGTTTGCACAGATCCAGTGCAAACTCAGGGCTCAGTGGACTTCCGTGGGCTTTGAGGTTTCCACCCAGTAGCCTTGCCTTCTAGTTAAACAAACTGCAGAGAAGTTTCCAAAGCGGGCAGGCAGGCTGTTTGTTCAGTTCCAGCCTGTTAAGCATTTGACATAAGCTTATACCATCCCAGCTGAGAAAGTTGGCACTCAAAATCTCTAAGCACAGAGGTGGTTAGCAATGTTAGTCCAAAGTCAGGTATAAGGCAGGGCAGGGCAGTCTTAGAGACCAACTGGTTCACCGAGCAGAGTAAGGGGATTTTTTTTTTCACACCGCTGCTAATAATAGCTGATGTCTTCAGCCAGACCTGGCCAGCGCCTCAAGGGGAAAAGAAACATGCAGGTTGGGCTTGTCCTGCAGAGTCAGAATCGAAGAGCAGAGCTCATTCCAGCTCACAATAAAAGAGTTAGAAGCACTTGAAAAAGGCCGTCACTCTTCTTTGACAGGAACAGGCAAGGCCGGTTCTTTGACTAACCAGACCTGAGCTGATAAAACGTGATTCTGATCTGAACCAAACCCTTCTCTCCGACATTCCTGAGTTCAGGTGTAGCCAAGAGGCAGGTGACTTGTCACCTGCAGGGCTGGTCTCCAAGTGCTTACTGCACTCGAGTCTGGTAAACCCAGTTGATAGAGACTGATGCCCGCTCAGTTGTGAATAGCATGAGGAGTTCTTGGCATTAGCTGGCCCAAAATACCTAGTCCTCCTGTGAAAATACATGCAGTGCCTGAGAAAACAGAGCCATATGAAAGACCTTACCCTCTTCGGGCATTAAGAAGCTGAGACAAGAGAACATCCCAATGGTTAAGCTGAACTCTGTCCTTGGGTTTGTAGATGCTACTGTAGTACTACTCGTGGACCACCGTGCCAGGCATTGTACAAATGCAAGACGCAAAGAGGATTCCTGCCTTTGTGAACTTCAGGGCAAAAGCTGCTAGTACAGTTTGGGTGGTGCATGCTTTTTTGGCTTTGCAAAACTCAGACTAAATAATTCCTCCATCAGGGAGCAGCAATGGCAAGCAACACCCAGTCACAAATTCCTAGTCCCCAAAAAATAAATGTGGGCAGTGGGACTTTCTGGGCTGCCTTCTCAGGTTCAGTGTGGAGTCCAGAGCCTGTTCCTTGAGCCAGTCCCTAATGGCAGAAGACAGAGAAGAAGCCTTCAACCTGAGCTGTTCCCAATTTGACTCGTCTTTTTGCTTACAGATTAAAAATGAAGGCACCAAGAGCTGCTTGGATGTCGGTGAAAACAACCACGGAGGGAAGCCTCTGATCATGTACCCTTGTCACGGCATGGGGGGCAATCAGGTTTGTAGGGGAGGAAGCTGGCTGGCCATTTCCCAGCAGTCCCCCTCCCCCTGGGGAAGCCACTGGGGAAAGGAGGAAGCCCAGCACCAGTCGAGGCTGGAGTGATGCACAATGAAGTGCCCCCAGTAGAGGCAGAAGCGGTAATGCATCAGTGATGTTGTGCACTTCTCAGTCCTCTGTGGATTCATTGAACTGTAAAAAACAAGGCTTGGGGGGACCTCAGGTGGTCACATCTAGTCCAAGCCCCTGCTCAAAGCAGGATCAGCCCCAACTAGATCATCTCAGCCAAGGCTTTGCCAAGCTGGATCTTAAAAACCTCCAAGGATGGAGACTCCATCACCTCTCCGGGTAACCTGTTCCAGTGCTTTACTACCCTCCTGGTGAGAATTTTTTTCCTACTATCCAACCTCACCTTAACCTTGCTGCAGCTTGATCGCATCGCTCCTTGTTCTGTCACCTGCCCCCACTGAGAACAATTTCGCTCCATCCTCTTTGGAAACCCCCCTTTCAGGGAGCTGAAGGCGTCTGAGAGCGGCCTGTTTCTTCCCTGCATGCCTCTCCCTCCAGAGAAGCAGGCAACAGCAAGATGAACTGACCATATTAACTCTCGAATCCATTCATTAGATGACCCCTCCAATAATTAGTTACTGTACATGGCAAATTATGAATCTGCTAGCATTTTTCATGTGTAGAATCTAAGTACTGGGGGGGGCATCTTAAATTCAGTCCCTGCACTGCTGCTGTAGGGGGAAGCAGCAACGGGGGGGTAAGTAGTAGGGAAAGTAGTGGAGTTGGGGGCAGGCAGCGGGGACGGTCCTACTTGGAGCAGGGGATTGGACTCGATGTGATCCCTCTAAGATCCCTCCCAACCCTCATGATCTCCGATTCTGCGCAGGGAGTGACGGGTGCTGCTGGTGGTGCCGTGGCAGGCAGGTGGGGTCTTGCTGCATAAGGTTGCAATCCTCACCTCTCCCCGTTCTGCTCTTGGTCCCCAGTACTTCGAGTACACGACCCAGAAGGACCTGCGACACAACATCGGCAAGCAGCTCTGCCTCCGCTCCGGCTTCGGGCCGGTGGAGCTGGGAGAATGCCACTTCATGGGGAGAAATTCCCGCGTGCCTGAAAGCGAGGCATGGGAGCTGACTCAGGTGAGCGAGTGCTTCTCGCCCCTTGAATGCCTTGCGCTGAGTGGAGGGGTGGGGGACACGGCGGCACCCCCCTTTGGCAGTGCTGCCTGTGAGATCTCAGCGCGGGGCTTCCCCCAAGGTCCTGCTTTCGTGCCCGGGGGTGAACACTGCTGCTGCTCGGCTCCTTTTCCCAGCTGCTGAATTCATTGGGAAGGGAGGGCAAAGGCAAACAGTAGCAGTAGTTCTGTCTCCGTTCCCCCCGCCTCCCTCCCGGGCTCCGGAGCTGCACAAAACCACATAGTCAACATGAGGGGCAGCCCCACCCTCCCCGTCCCATTCCTGGATCCACTGCTGGGCACTGGTGCGGGGCAAGTCTCCCTGCTTCCTCCCGTCTCCGTTACTCCCTCCGCAGAGTTTGAGTTGTCCCTCAAGCTGTCTGGAGGACGCCAGCCCAATCTCCTTTTCTCATAGGACCGGCTGATCAGAAACGTGGCTTCTAACACGTGTTTATCCGCAAGAGGCGAGCACCCGTCCATGGCTTCCTGCAACCCGCTGGATTTCCATCAGCAGTGGTTCTTCACCTAAGGTGCCGTGCGAAGACCAAAGCCCAAGCGTGGACAGGGTGGCCCGTGAGCCCATCTCGCTTGGAGTTATCCATCCCCAAGTGCACTCAGGAAATGGAAGCTAAGACTTTTTCTCCTTTTATTTAAAAGAGACTAAAGCCTTAAATATGCTGCAGTTCACATTTGCCTTGAAGCCCATTCTGTGCCTTTTGGGGGACTAAGATGGCATCATAATACATGGATGAGATTTTGTTTGTATCGTTTTTCCGAGAGACCGAGCAAACTCCCTGTTTGCGGCTACATAAGTGTCATAACCATCATGTATCCGAAGCCAAGGAACTTGGGACCGTCTCCATCAGGGCAGTATCAGTTAAAACGCTCAATCCCATGCACCACCCCGGAGCGGCTGGATTGCGAGCCACAAGAACCGGGGGAAGAGACCGAATCCAATATCCCGCTGAGAAGGTATTGCCAGCTGTCTCATGCCAAAAATGGTGCTTGCGGCAGCTACTTGTTGTTATGCTCTTGCAGGTGGAATATGGTCAAAGGCAAATCGGGGCCGCGTCAGGAAGCGTTGCAGGGGAGCGATGTGCAGCATCTTGTTGGCTCCTCTTTGCAGACACCCTAGCTGTTAACTCAGTAGGGGGTAACAGCTGCATTCAAATGCTGACGCTGGGGGGCACTGTTGCTGCGCGACTCCCCAGCCATCGTGCAGTGTGTGCGTTGCCTCCGGTTGAGGTGCTCCTGCCAGCCCAGGGCGGCAAGGAGGACTGACCGCATTGCAAATGAAAGACCTCTCAGTACAGCTAATCCCTGAAGGAGAGATGATTCATCGTTTCTCCTTGACCCCTGCTGGGGCGCAGGTTGTCGAGAGAGCTGGCAGCGGCGCTGCATCATGGCACGCCTCGGGAGATGGACTCTGTAGGAGCTTGCAAGATGATGCTGATGGATGGCATTAAACAACAGACAGTCCCGTGGAGGGTAAAGGCGGGAGGAGTGCACATGAAACTGGTTTATCTGTTGCGGTGAAGCAGCTCCTGATAACAGATCGCCTGTGCCAGCATGATGAAACACTTGGTGCCACTTTTACTCTGGGCTGCCTGCTGTGATTGCTGGGGTTTAAGAAAAGCTACTTTAAAAAAAAAAATTCTTTAAATCAGCATCAACGCTTCACTTCTCATGACCCTTCCCCTGCCATGATGCTGCCTCACCTGTTTTCCATTAGAAAACACACAAGTGGAGGCGCTAGTAGCTTTCCTTATGGGATCCCTGGTGAGTCCAGCCCAGGAAGACCATACTTTCTTCTGAGTTGGGCAAAGGGCACTGGACTTCTGGCTTAAACTCTCCTGGCATTATTGGTACCACCACCTTCCTCCACTTTCTACCTCCTGTTTCAAACCATGCAGCTGAATTTTTCTCTACTGGTGTTTTTCTTTTAAACCTCCAAGGGAAAGACAATGCAGCCGCAAAGTGAACAGAAAAAAATACCTTTTGTTTTTTATTAAGTGTTTAGACTTGAATACGGTAGTTGACACTAGTTTCCAGATGATTCTGCTCCTCCTGTAAGTCAAGAGCCCTCCCAGGAATGTGGGATGTGCCCTGCATTTTGGATCCACTTGGCATGAACCTAAAATAAAGAGACATGGTTTTGTTTGAAGAGTCCCGTCTGGGTTTGGTTCCTTCGGAGCAGATGCTCAGTGCGCACCCAATATTAAGCCATATGTTTTCTTATGTTTAGTACCTAAAGCTCATCAAGACCCAGTCCCCATTGCAGTTGGCACTGTGCGTGCCACCCTAGCCCGTCCCAGGAGGCTTTGCAGCCTGTGCAAGCAAGGCAGAAGCAGAATGGGTGCCTGGGCTGTGATACGCTATACCTGAGCCCTGTGTGCATTGCTGATTTCTGTCAGGCGAGGTGCCTTTCACAAACCGCTGCCTATGCAGTGATTTGGATGGTGCCTGAAGATGGCAAATTCCCAAGGACTCCATGCTGAGGCACACAGCAGGTGTATGCGCTCCTGGCTTTGAACGTGCAAGATCAGAGTCTTCCATAGTTGCACCCACTAAAATCTAATAACAGGCGTGACACTAGTGACATTGGGTCTGTTTTGGTATGGCAGGATGATGAAAGCCCCTTTGCAGCCCTAGAAGGCAGGGCTCAGAGCCTGGCTCTGGTATAGCTCCATTGTGGCAGGTAGTTTCCTACTCCCTGCGAGACGGGGTGGCTTCTCCAGTGGTGCATGAGAAAATAAAAATGTTGCCCCTCAGCCTTGATTGGGGGCTGGCTGGGCAGAGCCTCCCCCCAGTGCAGGGGGCTGGAAAACAGCCTTTAGGAAGGCTCTTGCTGCAGCCGTCCGCGGGCACCGAGCACTAGATTCAGCCAGGAACCGGAGACTGTGCAGCGAGCAAAGCACAGGCTCTTCCCTAAGGCGCCAGGTGGAGGCTCCTTACTCCACGGAGGCTCATTGACTGAGACGTTGGTGCCACCCAGCGGCCAGGCAGAGGTGTCAAGTGCGTACAGCGGAGGCTCCCTTTGGGTTTCACGTAGAATCACAGAAAATGAGGGTGGGAAGGGCCTTCAGGAGGTCACATCTAGTCCAACCCCCTGCTACAAGCAGGACCAGCCCCAGCTACATCAGCCCAGTCTAGGCTTTGTCTACCTGGGTCTTAAAAACCTGCAAGGATGGAGACTCCACCACCTCTCCGGGTAACCTGGTCCAGTGCTTCACCACCCTCCTCGCAAGAGTTTTTTCCTAATATCCAACCTCAACTTCCTTTGCTGCAATGTGAGCCCATTGCTCCTTGTTCTGGCATCTGCCCCCACTGAGAACAGCCCAGCTCCATCCTCTTTGCAACCCCCCTGCAGGGAGCTGAAGGTTGCTATTAAATCCCCTCTGTCTTCTCTTCTCCAGGCTAAATGAGGCCAGTTCCCTCGGCCTCTCCTCATCAGTCACGTGCCCCAGCACCTGAACCATTCTCATTGCCCTCCTCTGGACTCTCCAATG